GGAAGTTAGGAAAAGGGAGACAGGAAGAAAATAGGCTGTGCTGTGCTGAACTGCCCCCCCTCCCCCGCCCGGGCCGCCCTGTGTTTGCTCACCAGTTACTTACAAGCACACGCCCTGCGTTTAGAGTAAGAGTTAATATCTGTGCTTCCTCATAAATCTCCATTCAGCGCCTCAAGCTATGTTTTTCATTCTGTGGCGCGGCTTTGAGATTTGAGGTGAGGGGAAAGGAGGGGCAGCTGACGAGGTAATAATGGAAGCTGCTAGCTCTCATTCTTGGGAGCAGTCTTTGGCTCATGCCTTAGCGGAGAATCTTGGGAGGCCAAGGTAGAAGAGCAGGAGTCAGGGAAGTTGGCTGTGCTGACCTAGGCAAAATGATGCATGGCTTCACCCCCCCAAGGAAGAAAAATCTGTGGAGTGGACAAGTGTTAAGCCAGAGAAGGCAGTGGCAGGGCACATTTCCTAGGAGGGACAGGAGGCCTTCCTGACAAGACTCAAGCCTGAATGGAGAGATGCTTCTCTCCATTCAACTCGGAGTCACTTTTTGTGTTTAAAACATACTTCTTTCTCCACGCACATAGTTCTCTGGCTCTTGTATGAGTAATTCCTTCGTGATAAACGTGCTTCTTGCTTTGTTACTGTAGAAGGCAAACCTGGTTGCCTGTGGTGACTGAAAACTGTGATTGCCTAGGCTTTCTTCCCGACCAAGAACTGTATTTTAGACTTCTGAGTCACTGCGGATAACAGATAATTAACATGGCTCTGAAAGGAACTGAGGCCTTTGAAAATTCTAGCTCTTAGAGTATGTGCGTGCATGTGTGTGTGTGTGTGTGTGTATGTTTGTATGTGACTGAGTATATGTGTGTGTATGTATGTGACCGTGTGTATGTGAGTGTGTGTATGTGAGTGTGTGTGTGTGTGTGTGTGTGTGTAAGAGAGAGAGAGAGGGAGAATAATGTGGAAACCGTCATGGAAAGTTCCTTCTAACTTAAGAAGTCTAGGATCATCATGAACATTTCACCAAGTTCTCTCCTGGAGAGAGTTGCTCTATTTTGGCCTGTGTCTGTGAGACTTTGAAGTTGGTCAGGAGCAAAGACCACAGCAACTTTCTTACCTCCAGAACGATGAAAATGCAGGCCAGATAAAGGCATCATTTTTCTTTTGCCTAGAACTATAAAAATGCAGGCCAGAGTCAGAGGGTAGAAAGGAGCAATAGAAGAAGTCGCAGAAGGAATCTTCCATTGCTGCCAGGTTTCTGCGTGTGTGTTCCGGTCTAGAAAGATAAAACAGTGGCCAAGCTGGCTCAGAGATCATCTGACTTGCTCCTGGAACATGGGGTCTGGGTCCCCTCTTTACCTACAATTGCACAAACAGAAGCTGTTCTAATTAAGTAGTAGCACTAAGGACAGAACGTAGGCACAGGTTAGGTGACAACTTCCGAGCCCATTGCAGAGATTCTCTTTTCTTTCTTTTTTTTTTTTTAACTTCTGGAAAGTTGAGAGCAATTTTTATTTATTTTATTTTTTATTAATTAATTAATTTATTTATTAAAGATTTCTGCCTCCTCCCCGCCACCGCCTCCCATTTCCCTCCTCCTCCCCCAATCAGGTCCCCCTCCCTCATCAGCCCAAAGAGCAGTGAGGGTTCCCTGCCCTGTGGGAAGTCCAAGGACCACTCACCTCCATCCAGGTCTAGTAAGGTGAGCATCCAAACTGCCTAGCAGAGGTTCTCTTAACCCGTTAGAACAGCTAAGGGGCTGCCTTTACTTCAGCTAAAGAAAACAAGCTTGAAAGCTGGTTTAAGCTAGCCATGGGGAGGTCTGTCCTGAGAACTTAAGTTCCTGGAATCATAGACACTAAACTGTGACTTGAAAAGCAGACGGAGCACAAAGGAAGTATTCGTGGGCAGAGTCGGTGGAGGAAAGGGGCTGATGGCTTTGACAAGCACAGAACCTCCGGGGACTTGCTGTGTGCTGAAGGGTGTTCCCTCCTGTTTGCTTTAGTTCACTAGCAGTTCTTGATTTGTTGGCCCGATTACGTCCATTCTTTCTTTCCTATGTCTATCAAGTTAGCTCCAAACATACTATTGTCTAGATTAAACAGATTTAAAAATATTAAGCTTTGAATATGTGTTAATGGAATAATTTCATATATAGCATATACAATGGTTTTTATCTATTCTTTTAAAGAAAGACTCATTTTACTTATATATGGGCATATGTGTGTGTTTGGGGGAATGGGGTGCTGGAAGAGGGCATCAAATCATGTGGAGCTATAGTTATAGATGTTTCTGAGCTATATGTGTGACGTGATCAAAGTTTTTATATCACTCCCAGTACTGACATAAATAATGTTACAATAACTAAACCCCCAGGGACTGAAGAATGGATGTGGAGGTCATACAATTTTTAGTGAATGTACGAACATATTCTGAAGGTTCAGTAGGATGAATAATTCAGATTCTAATTCGTACGACACTTAGAAAGGGGAATGTGATTGTCCACAATCATACTGACTGACATATTGAACACTCATTCATTGCCCTTTGCTCTTTGTTTTATTAATTCACACTTGCATTAGTCTCTCTGTGAGCATAGCTTACTGCAGCATCAACTATTGCTGGCCATAAGGTGTGTTCAGTCATCACAGTTCTCCCAAAAACATTTAACAGAAGAGGAGCGAACCACAACGTTTATCAAAGTCCTATGCTACAGGGCCTGACCAGCCTCACCGCAGATGCCACCTATGGAGTGAAAGCTTAGTTTTATATTTTCCCTCCAACTTCTTAACAGCTCTTACTGTTCTGGAAAAGGCCATTGTCATGGTTAAAGTGATCAGATATTTAACAATAATATCCTTCTTGAATTTTATGCTTGACTTTCATTCAAGTCCTTAAAGGGAAAAAAAACAGGTCTGCTTATTATGGAGGCTTTCTTGACAGATTTTTCATCCCTTTTGGAGAAACAAAATTGTACTTGGTGCAAAAATTGACATATGAAGTAGTAAATAATTCCATTGTGCAAGTTGTGATAATTGGCTCAAGCCAGAATGCTCCACAAATGAGCAAGCTCGTATTCATAAAGTTTGCGATTTATTATCAGGACAGAAAAAGAAAACAAAACAAAAATACAAGGATATGACCAGAATCAATACAGAATATGAGAAGGTGAGGTTTGCAAAGGAAACTTCAGAGGCTTGCATCGGATTTTATTTTCCTTTCTTCCTTTCTTCCTTTCTTCCTTTCTTCCTTTCTTCCTTCCTTCCTTCCTTCCTTCCTTCCTTCCTTCCTTCCTTCCTTTCTTTTTTTCTTTTTTCATTTATTTCTTCTCTTCCTCCTCCGTCCTCTTCCTCCTCCTCCTCTTCATCTTCTTAGGCAAAGGACTAAATAAAAACAAAACAACACACACACACGTTGAGTTTCACCTTTCAAAAACAATCACCAAATACCTGAGAACTGGGCAGGCAGTGTTCCTTTCTTTCTTTCCTTTTGTAAGATTCAGCTTGGCATCAGCCATTGAAAGGTGGAGCTGTGTGAGCATGTGGGAGACTGTTTACACTCATTTCTGAATGAATAAACATTCAGAAACCACATGCTATTCCCAAAGGAATCATTCTTTAATACAGGAAGTGACAGCTTTGTGGAGGCACCACCATTAAGCTCTGGTTTTTCATTCTCAAAATCCCGGGATTGAATTTCTAGAAGAAATGAACTGAATGGATGCTTCAAGGAGCTGCTGCTTAGAATTGCAGCCCACTGGTTCTAAAGCTTGTTGAATGCAGAGCACCTGGATTTGGCTACCCCTTCAGGCACCTTTCTGCATTCAGAGCCTCATGAAACCACAAATCCAAAATTCAGTTGGACACACTGAAAAGAAGATGCCAAATACATGCTAGTTCTAATCATGTAGCATTGCTCTTCTGCCATGGCTTCCTGCCTCCTATTCCTGTTTGACTTTCCCTTGCTTTGTATTTGTATGCAACGGATAGCCAGGCCTGGGTTCTGTTAGACAATGACTTCCTTCTGGACATCAGGAGTCAGTAGTGGGGTTAGGGGTAGGAGCCAGCAGAGTCTCTATATACACATTGGTGTTTCTCTCACTGCAGCTTCATTAGGTAAGCTTTGTGCAGGGAATAGAGGACTAGGAGATACAAAGGCGGAGTCACTGACTTAGGGAGCTGAGAGTTTTGAGTGGTCCTCATCCCTTTCAAAGATCCTTGACGTCCTGCCATTTGGCCGATCTGATGCTCCCTCTCAGACAGTTCTTCTGTTTGTTGCTCTGTTTAAATGCTGACTTCTCACCGTGACCTTTCCTCTCTCACTGAGACTACCTCCCATCCTTCTTACCTGCCGTCATCAGAATGTAAGTGTAAGGCCAGCACCTATATTTCCAGCTCTGACCGTTGGCCTGAGTACCAGGGTCCCATTTCCATGTGGTTTCTCAAAACACCTCTTGCAGCTACCCTGTTTGAGAGCGAGCCCATCCTTCTACATCCTTCATTCCTTAACAGTTTGATTTGAGGTAAGCCACTCATATCAGTGGAAATAGACAGGCTAAGAGGAGAGTTACAATCCTACAATCCTTTGCTACATTTTTCCTATAGATTTATCTATGTAGTCTAACTTTCTTGTTAGCCACCAACCTCCAAATAATGACACAGAGACTTCTTACTAATTATGAAAACTTGACCTTAGCTTAGGCTTGTTCCTAACTAGCTCTTATAACTTGAATTAACTTGTTTCTATTAATCTGCATTCTGCCACATGTTTTTTTACCTCTCTCCCACTCTGTACATCTGACTTGCTCCACGTCTTGCTGGTGTCTAGATTCATCCCAAGTTCCTCTCTTTTTTTTCCAGAAGTCTTGCCTATTCTCCCCTGCCTAGCTATTGGCCATTTCACTCTTTATTAAATAAATCAGGAGATGCTTTTTACACAGTGTGATCAAATATCCTGCAAAGAATTTAACAGAAATGTCCAGTCTGATAAAAATCTGCTTCCTTTAGGAGACCAGGCGAAGGCCTTCGGATTTGCTGGGGGAGCACCGAGGGACAGTCTCTATTGTCACGCTGGAATCCGTGGTCCACTGAGGTTCCTTATGCTACCTTCACTGAGCATCCTATGAAATACACTAATGAGAAGTTCCTTGAGATTTGCAAGGTAGATGCTACTTTGTCACATATTAGCCCTTTCGGTGAAGCTGTGAGCTTCTAGAACAAGTTCTGTCTTAAAAACTGCTAAGACTCAACCTGAAGGTGTGTTGCAAAAACTTTACTGCCTCTTTAGACACTTGTATGAAGAGTATAGCTATTTCATAGACGTCATGTATTATGTTTATGTCACCATAATGTGTCCCTTCCCTCTTGCTGTCATCTTTTAATGGAATATTAGAGCAAGTTAGAGTACTTACATTTGGCTAGTTATATTTATTGCAAGAGGGTGCATGTGATATTCTCTATATAGATTCATCTCAGTTGCCTTAATCTGGAAAGAAATATGGAATAGTGTGAAGTATGTTTCGTCATACTGGCTCTGTGGTCAGACTTTATGAAGTCATTTCTTTTCATGGGATAGTGCTGGTGGTCTCATCTCTAGAGCGAGTGTGGTGGATACTGCCCTTTCCTCTAATCTCACTAGACTGTTGTCCTTCAGATGGATAGCATGTCTAGGTGCTCCATACATCACAAAGCCACGGTGGTTCTTTTTTATGCCTCCATTTCTCATCCTCTCAAGCAAACATTTAACTCTTTGGTGACAGAGAGAGTCTCTTGTGCTATTCTCTCCTCGCTTCTGGTTAGCCTAGAGAGGGGCAGCTCCGCATGAATGGAAGCAATCTTTAGTAGCGAATAAATCTTAAAATATTAAATCATCATTGGCTCAAAAGCAGCCACCAATCAAGAAAGCCTTCAAGTGCAACACTTCAAAAGCTATAATTCAAACAGCCAACCTGGCTCTCTATAACTTAAATAGGGTTAATCTACTTATCATAGACGAAATGCTAAAGCTCAGAGACACTTCTCATAATTAGAAAGTAAACCAGTCGGAGTGGAAGATTTGGTGAAAAATCAAACTATTTTCACAAAACCAAATCCACATGTGAGTGTGTGCACAGAGACTGAGAAGCCATTGTCTTTTCTGTCCTGTTTTAATGTTTACCTTAACATTTGTCTTTCACTTTAAAACCTAATTTAGCATCCGTTCAAAATTTAACAGTTAGTGTCTGGAGTCCCATTGATGGCATATTAAAATTCTTGCATTAATATACATGTACCTATTTATGGAAGTAAATTTGTGTGGTGTAAATAAACAACTGTAAATTGGCAAGTGCCCTTGAAGCAATGTGTCTGTGATTAGAAACTAGATGGGGTCTTAATTCCCCCTAATAAACAGATAAATTGGCTTTGATACAGTCTACTCTCAGGAAAAGTTGGTGATCCTGCTGGGATTCATGCAGGTGTCCCCAGAGGTCCGGGGCTTCATGGCTGACTCTGGCTCCGGCGATTGCAGGCACTCAATTAGTTCAGGGATCATGTTGCTTTACTTCATATGATACCCGTTTCACAATCCCCCAACCAAGCCAGCAGCAGCAGCTCCTAGGCTGATGCTTTACCACCTAAAGCCAGCAAAACAAAACAAAACAAAGTGAAAACCAAGACCAACACCAGAACACTCCACCAAGCCGGGCTCGTGGAGGGCAGAGAGAGAATGTGTGCCAAGGTAAAGTGCCCAACTTCAGAGGTGGTACCAGCTCCCCTTGTGTTCCAAAGTCCTTATTAGTAACACACACATGCCTGCATCATAGCCTCTGCCTCTTCAGTCCATACCCTCCCCAAACTCCCAGTTTTCATTGTTATTACTACTTGCAATAGAAGACATTTATTAAGATACCTGCTAATTCAGACTAAAATGTATAATAATAATATTTTCTCATGGGAATTTCCTTTCTTTAAAGGAAAACCGTTTTTAATCATTAAAATGATATATATTTTTGTATTAATAGTTGAACTTCACTATTAACCAATACAAATACTTAACTGACTTAGCTATTAAACGTGTCACTCCCCGGGACAAGCCTTCTCTTGTTCCTTGTACCGGATGCAATAGGTACTTATTTCTGAATGGCCTTTGCCGGAAGAAGTTCACAATGAAAGATTGAAGGACTACGTTCTGTTGCTTACAGAGAAATGTGATGGGTTGATGGTACTTTGTTTTGGTCTCCTACATACAGATGCAATCAAATTTTTTTTTCAGAGCATGAAAGGTGAAATACAGAAAACAGCAGAGAAGTTGGCGAGGTAGTTACTGGGTGGTTAGATGGTGATTACATGAATTTGAATGGCGATAACTAAGAATGTGAGGGGTTAGATTAGTTTATGAGATATTGAGCTTGAATCATCCATCAAATAGTTAGGCAGTTAGAACTTTATAAATTGCCGTAGAGGAAGTTGGAGATAGACTATTCAGATTAGGTGACATTGGCTAGGTGTAACTAAGGAAGTCCATGAGAGCCTGGAGTGAAGGATCACAACTGTTTATTTGGGAAATATTAACAATAAGAAAGCCCTTGCGGTCCTTTGCTCTGTTGGTGCTGGGGAACTGCGTACAGAAACTTGACCACCAGCCGAGAGAGCGAGCTCGCTTTTTGTCTGCGCTCATCAGTCCACATGCAGTACCTCAGACCATGTCCTAAAGATGCTGATGCCCAAAAGGTTATTGGCTGAATGAATTCCCACAACACCTCCCCATTTTGTCTAAATAAGAGGGCACTAAACCTAATACAAAACAATATGCAGTAAGAACAAATATCAAGTATTGTCCAGGAGAAAAAGGCAAAAACATACACAAAAAAATAGAACTACAACCAATATGAGTGACATCAAGCAAGAAACACACACTCAATGTCCAGTCTAAGGTAAATAGCAAAGTAATATAGACTATTTAATAGCTGAGGACAGTGGTAGCTTTCTTATTGTGAGTTTCCCCCAAATGAACAGTTGTGATTCTGTTTTCCGGGCTCTCATGGGTGTCCTTAATTATGCCTTCATCATTGTATCAATGATGAAGTTACTTGAGTTACTAAGGTAGTATAGCAAGGTACTCGAGAGAGACATGTTAATATACACAGGTGTTCAAATTCAAGTTTATACTATCTGTAAACATTACCTATTAATGATAGGTCAATTCATTAGCTTGTAAGTCATTTGAAGAGTTTGGCTATGTGTAACTCAACCTTCTTGTTTCTATCATGTGATGTAAAAATGTGATACCTCCCGTTACCCATCAGAAGTGTAGGTCATGTCCACTTTGTGCAAACACGGGGCTCAAACAGCGTCTCCCCGGAAGTCTGCCTTACCTGTCCACCTTGAAATCTTTTCAAATCTGCATACATGCCATGTACTACTCATAATGCACAACTGTGCAAATGTAGAATACTAGGTTATGTTGCATTTAAGGTACTTGCATAGCACAAAAAGATAATTTTACATATGATATACTTTTTACTTTATCTTTATTGCTTATAGCATGAGTGATATTGTCATGTAAATTTACTAAGAAAACATCTAAGATAGGAGTAAATATCTTCATTTTTAAAAGTCAAGACTCTTAAACACAAGGATTAAGTAAATGAGCTAAGACTATACAATGATAAATATACATCCACACCTTAGCAGTTACTAATATTCATGGAACTAGGTATAAGCCTAAAAGACTTCTTTGTTGTATGTATGCGATTCTCTCTCTCTCTCTCTCTCTCTCTCTCTCTCTCTCTCTCTCTCTCTCTCTCTCTCTCTCTGTAGTTTTCAGAAGGGAGAGCTGGAGTGGATAGAATATGATTGAAAGACAGAATGAGTGGAATCTTCTTGTGTAGAAAAGAAACTTCTGTCTCATCATCATTTTGTGTTTCTGTACACTTTAAATTACCCACAGTTACAGAGTCCATACAAAGCAATTGATAATTGCCAAAAAAATGTGACACACATTTTGGCCAGCATTGTAACTTGCCAAGTGGTTTCATATCTTCACTATTGGATGAGGATTTGTTCCTCATCCCAGGGTGCCTTCCTCTTTACAGAGAGAAAGGTTGAAACCTGTGGCCCCAAGGCTAGGAAAACCTGCCAAGCTAAGGAATGTGGGCCTGCAGGCATGAAACCTGGTCTCTCTGCCCAGTATAAACAGGAAGAGAGTGATGGTTGTAATAAAGAAAACTGAGATTCTAGGCGGGAGTTGCTGGCAGACGGCACCTGAGGCAACCAGGGGCCCAGGCACTCAGCTGGTAAATAATCACTGTGAAGTCAAGAATACTGCACCCCCTCCTCCATGAACACGACCGTGCTCCCCTACAACCAACACATGGCCCCTATGTAACTGGAGTTGTTAAAACTTGACCCTATGTTTTTTGAGACAGAAATAAAAGCGGGAGACAGAGGTGGGTGTATAAAAGCTTTTAGACAAAAGTATGTGGCTGGTGGCATTCATATCAGATGACACAGCGCTCCTGTCACACAGATTGAGTTCAGGTGCTTGAAATGCTCAAGAGCCAGTTTGGGGACATGGCCTTTTGTCTGCCACTCCTTTAAGGAGCAGCTTGTCTCTGTAAGCACGCCGACCCCCTTTGAGAGTGTTCCAGACATGGCTGGGAAGGAAGAGTAGCCACATAACGCGATGTGTGGAGCAGGAAATAGTGTCAATATTGTCCTTCCAGCCCTTAGATTCAAAGACCACAGGGGAGTCTCAAGGAATGACGGTTACAATGAGAGCTGAAGCCGTGTTCTGTAATCCTGTTGGACAAACACTGGCCTCTGAGATGGCATCGTGTTAATGCAGATGGCCTTGGTAAAGGGAAATGCTGAGATTGTCATTTTAGGGGGAGGTGGCTTCTTGATGAGAGTGATGATGATAATAACAATGGAGCTAATGATTTTGTTTGTAAGAAACAAACTTATTAATGTTTTTTTGCATTGATTCTGAATACCACCAGCCTTGTCTCATTGCTCACCCTGGCTCCTACTGCTTTGAGCATGTCACCATTGTCTATTGCTCTCACTTGTTTTACCTATGAATTTGATATTATCAATATACCCATTTTTAGAGATAGAGAATATGAAACTCAGGAAGGCTTAATATTTATCCCAGTACTTAATGCTACATGTATTATGAAGCTGTGTGTTCCATAATTCAGTGAGACATTTTAGTGAGCTAGGGTCTCGGTACATAGCCCAGGCTGGAACCAAACTTTTCATCCTCCTGTCCTGTGTCTCCCGAGTATTGGGATTGCAGACACGTACCAGACTACATCTTAGAAGGAGGGGGTTTGAATTGCCAAAGGATATTTAGTTATGTCTCCTTTTGATTCCCAAAGATCTAGAGTCAAGGCAAAATAAGACATTTTGAGTGAAGGTAACATGACCCAAAGCTATAACTGCAAAGCTATACATAATGTTCTTAGATAATGGCTAAGAATATGTGGAATTTAAAGTGTGTGTGTGTGTGTGTGTGTGTGTGTGTGTGTGTGCTTAGAGGGGTTAGGATGAGGGTGGACATTTGAATGAGTAGAGATTTTTGTGTGGCAGAAATTCTACAGGTGCCTGAGGGACAGATGAACAGAGTATGCTGTGCTCTCAGAATGTGAAAGGTATTCTCCCCCATAGTAAAGCTATATTTGATTCCCAAATAGGAATAGCCTGGTGATGGCTAGCCATGTAAGAGTCACACTTGCTCCTCTGTTTAGAAAACTTGTTAATATGTTGAAATGGAGATATTAGTGAAATGAAAGAGAAGAAAAGATGAGGATTATTTTTAAACTATTTATTTTTATTTTATGGTCATGAATATTATGTCTGCATACCAAGGTACTGTTGGAGGCCAGGAAAGAGTGTCGGATTCTCTGCAACTGGAGTTACAGATGGTTGTGAGCCACCTTGTGGGTGCTGGGAGCTCAACCCAGGTACTCTGCAAGAACAGCAAGGACTCCTAACTGCTGAGACAGCTCTCCAGTTACAGAAGAAAAGAACATTTTTCATAGGCTCCAGGCTACAACAGGGAGGCATTATGGATGTGGAAGTCTTGAACTTGGCTTTGAAAATGGAAACTGCAAAACGTTTTGGGTTGAATAATGGCCTGAACCAGTTAAGTAGCAGTTTAATGGTTTTAATTAATATTAATCTTTTTTTAAAGTAAAACATGACTCTAAACTAAGTACAATGAAAGGAATAAAGCTATCCCATTGGGTTGAGCGAAGGGATTGAAGCAGATTACCTGCTTGGTTTTCATTTTCTTTTACAATGCTTGTCTCCAGCCCAAAGAAACCTGCTAAAGCAACATTATTCATCATAGCACCTACTTGCTTTTCAAAACACTGATTGGTAGCTGTGGTATAAGTTCTACGGGTTAGTGTATTTCTCATCTCTCATCGATGAAGCTTCTTTGTGGAACAGATGGAGACTTCCAGAGACTCACGCCTGGCCAACACAGAGAGACTAAGGGTCCCTGGAATGTCCAACCCCAGTTCACATATCTGCAACACAACCCCGACACCTAGGGGTCAGGCAACTTTGAGAACAGGAGTTCAGTCTGGAAGAGCCAGCAGACCAGGATGCCTGGTTATAGTTCATGTCTTTTAGACGTGATAGGAAATTTTCAACAATATGGTTTCCTTAACAAAACCTGCATGATATCAGTTGGCATGCTGGGAATTCTTAAGGTCGTTGCTCTGCTTGAAGGAGTAGACAAGTGGCCAATGGCTGCAGAGGGAGGGGAGAATCAGTTTCCTCCAGGGAAGAGCTCCCACATAGCGTTGTCTAAGCCAAACGGTCAGCCTTGTACACGTATACCATACGTACACGCACTGTTAAATGGACTTGATTAAAAGAGTGCATAGCCATGTGCATACATGTGCACGTGTGTGCAGCAATAATAATTAAAGAGGAGGTCATGAGTCAGGGAGGAAAGAGGAAGCAAGAGAGGAGATTGGAGGCCTTGGGGGACTGGAGTGATATAGATGTAATATTCATGTTTGTAGTCGTCTAAAAATTAAGAAAACCAGAAACAAAAGGCTCACACTGTCACTCAAGTATTGTGCTTAAGGAACATAGTTTGGAGTAATAAGATTCAGTATTTTCTCTGTCTGTGCCTTTGGAGTAATGAGAAGGATGTTTCCTAGGGATTTCCATGTGGCAGGAAGAAGGCTGAGCTACAAGACATCGTGCCCATCTCTAGGCCTTTTCTGACTTGCCGAACCTCATTTCTACCCATGGAAATTCTGCAAAGAAAGACCTTCAGGTCTGCTTTCGACATCCGTTCTTCATAGGCATTGTTGTCCCTCTTTCTGTCTGTTACAATGATCTTTGCTTTCCCACAGCAGATGTGCTTTGTAGACTGCATCATAGTCAATTGTCTTTGAGGGCAGCAGATGTCCATATTTGGCCTTTAGCATCCAGCAGTGCCCAACAAGTGTCTAATTCATAACAGATGATGAGCAAATATTGATGAAGTTGATTCCTTAATGTTCCACAAGTTATGACTAATGGAAAACAAATAAGGCAGATGATTTTACTACGTGCATTCCTTATTGGCTGAGTACTATACTAAAAGGTAAACAAAAGCAATCCCAACATTTCTGAGGGGTCATTCATGTTTAAGAAGGAAGAGCTGCTGCCCCCAGCAGCTCTCCTCCACTGAGGCTGACTGAGTGGGGATGTTCAGAGCATCCTGGAGGCACTAAATGTATGCTTCTTCTTTGTTCTTCAGTTGTCTGGATTCACATCCAAGCTCATCCCAGCTATTGAGAAGGCTCACAAGAATTCTGCTGGATCTGGAAGAGAAGAGGAACTGATGGTGTTAACCCAACCCATTCTGATTGAGACCTATGCAGGGCTCATGTCATTCATTGGGAACCGAAACAAACTTGGCTATTCCCTTGCTCGGGGGAGTATTGGCTTTTGAGACTCTTTGTAACAAAGTACATCACCTGTAGATAACCTATGTGTTTAAATTTACTACATTGTTTGGATTCCAATAGTTACTTTCAAATAATATTTAAAGGGCTGATTTATTATTATTATTATTAAAAACTTGATTAGACTAGTAGACATTTGAAGCCTCATAGGAGAGAAGTCAAATTTCTGTAAAACCCAACTAGACACTTCTGAGCCCATGAAATGCTATATAATTTAAAACTGTTATGTAATTTAAAATCTCTGGACAGAATCCATCATGCAACTTAATTTTAAATTTGCTAAAGTTTAAACTTTTGTCTTTCTCTTTCTTGCATCCAAAGACACTTTCAATGGTTTAGTTTTTAGTCCCTGATCCCTGTTTCGTTTTCACAAGGCTCTCACTGGTTCCCCTATTGTAGCTGCCATTTATAAAGGCATTCTCATCCATAGTCTTATTTCTTATATTTATCCCAAGGCTCAGAATACACCTTATATCTTCCACTCATCCCTACATCAGCCTTTCTGACATTAATCACTTTCCAAATCCAGAATACTCTGTGATTCTTTTGTATAATCCATTCCTCAAACCTACCAATTTCAATTGGCTTGAATTCTAAGTCAAATGCATTCTATGATAATAACCCATGGATATGTGGCATAACATTGTATCCAAACTTAAAATACCTTCTCGTAAGACTATAGGTAGAACTCATTAGCACAGGGCTCTCCCAAATTGTAGAAAGCCTTGAATTTGATTCTTAACATTGACGAGAAAAAGACAAATCAAACGTCAAAAACCACCCACAGCCTCCTTCTCAGTTCTAAGGTGAAAAGTTCCAGCTATTTTCTTCTTTGGCTCCTCTGAAGTTTACTTTTACACTGTTCCCGGCCCCCCCCCCTTTTGATAGCTTTCTTCCTCACATTCAAAGACTCAGGAGCAGGCAGTTATCAGTCTGGTACACGCATTCCAAACCAGAACCTGAAGAGCCCTTATTTCATTTTGTTTACTTCCATTACTATTTTGTTCCTTCCTTCATCCTTCTTTGTCACACCTCCCTCTTCCCCCCATGATGGCAAATATTGTCCAAGCCCCTAAGGCAAGGAACTTCTTTTGAGACTGGGAGAGGAAATGTTGAAATCCTTAGCTGTCCTGTCAACAGTAGTGGAATGAAAAGTCATTCAATTGTTTTGGCAATGCTTCTGAGGCAGGCATCATTGGCAAATTATTTTAATATTGTGGCCTGAAAATTCCCATATGCCTTCAGGTAGTGGCATTTACTGGCAGAAGCCTCTGAAATGCCCAGCTTATTCTCTCGAGTTACCATTTAAGGATTTTCCTGATGATGGATTGCCCTGTGCATGTCTGTCCCACTTTTAAAGTTCAGTCAGACACTCCCAAGTGACTTTCTAATAGGACACAGTATAGCCCCCTTAGCAGAAACTACCCAAAGTGGAGGAGAGGAAGGGGAGACTGTTAAACACTGAGAGCTGGTATCTGTGTTTTGTGTGATGAACAGTGAGCACAGAACTTCCCTGCAAACTCTCTCTAATGATATCTGTACAAGACATTGACTAACTAATAAATCAGCTCTCCAAAGCAGGGCCATCCGCTAAGTGAGGATTTGGGAATTTGAGTAGCATTTCATGGTAGAAAAGAAAATCTGTCCAGTGTCAAATATCCAAAGATTGAAGGGTTACTTCTTGAAGTGTGGAGCCTCAACTGACTTGATACAAAGATAACTAGAAACCATGTACACTGGGAATGGCGTTTATGTTGTATAATATCTGAGAAGTCAATACAATCCTTTAAGGCCATTGGCCTGTTATTCTCTAAACAACTGTTGCTAAGCATTCAGATAACTAGAGACCTGTTTTGGAAAGAACCGAATTAGTCCTGTGAGCTCCTGAAAATTTACTTTAACTTTCCTAATGCTTAATGTTCTAATATCCAAACTGGGGACACTTGATGCTTATTTCCCAGATGTGGCATCTCAGTGAGATGATCTCAGACCCTCTCACCGACACAGAAAACACTGAGTTCCTGCTTCTCTAAAGTGACTTCTGCCAAAGACCATGGGGCATCATCCACAATAACTCAATTCAGTTCCCAACGTGAATTATATCTTTGTCCCACGAAGCTACTATTATTTAATGCTTGATATTCTCACTGGATTCTTTGTCCTTATGCTCAACTGAGAGCCACAAACTAGGGGAGCCATGTGTGCGCCTTGGCTTTTTCCTGTCATCCCTCTGCCATCTGAAGCCTACACTAGCACTTCCCTAGGGCAGTTATCAATCTAATTTGAAACTGGACCAGACACGAGAACCTTAACGCTAAAACATCACTGCTGACTTGTGATGCTTGATAAGCTTTTCATCTGATCTTTGTTTCTTTCACTTTTTCCCAATGCAAGATTTCTAATAAGTCTTCCTTCGGAATCTACTTGAATTTCCAACAATAGAGCCCTCACAGTCTTCTGATGCATCTCAGGAAAAAAAAAATCTCCTACTATTGCCACAGAACAAGTCATGTTTACCTACCAGTTTTTTTCAATTTAAAAACATGCCGACTGGTGTAGAGTAGTGTAACTCTGTATGCCAGGGTGGGGGGCATTTGGGACCAGAAGTAAGGCTGCCACGTATCTTAGTTGATGATGAAGGGCTGGTAATGGTCGACACGCCTGACCTACCAGGGGTCCGTTGGATGCTTTGGTGTCCAAACATGTGCCCATCTTTTAACACAGAAAGGAGAAACTAGCTTATGTGTTTCCAGATCCTTGGCCTTGAGTCCCAGTCTCGTGGTCCCTTTGTTGAAATATTACTCAAGAAGCCACTTTACAGAGCCCTGGGGCTAAGGAAGGATAGAAACCTGCCAAACCGATGCTTTCATTTCACAGAACATGAAGCATAGGCCTAGAAACTAGAAAACATGTATTAAAAAAGATAATAAATTCTTGGCAACTTTGAAATTACACTAAATTTTCCTGTTCCTTTCTTTGACCCATTGCTCTGTCTGATATAGCACCTCTATTTTCAGGGACAATTTCATTGTGATCCTCGTATCATAGAGCTGGGTTAATTCTAAAGCAAGAAAACAATAGACCACAGTTGTTTAGGGGGGATTTCCAGAAATTACCTTTATTTTCTTAAAGGCTCAGGTCACTCATGGAACACTCTGATTTCCTATCTGATCAAAAAACGCCCAAACAAAGCTGCGGAAGCCAGTGAAGCCAGCAGATGTTTTGTAAGGTAGCTTTAGCTCGACCTGGCATTCCGTAGGGCAGCAGAGAGAGGGCAAAGGTATTAAATTCAGGCTTAAAAGCTCCTTGGAAATTCTTTACAGACAAGAGACCATGCTGGAGAAAAGAAGATGACTTATGCCAACGGGAAGAAAGAGAGAGGCTAATGCCTGTGGTTTTCAAAGGTTAAGAACAACACCACACTCAAACGCACGCACACACACACACACACACACACACAAGCCCAAGTATTTGCACAGGGATGAATGCTCACTGGCTTTTGGCCAACAATTATACAAGGGCTTGTGCCCACATCCTGTAGCTGTGGCTTGGGGACGCTGCTCAGGAGTGACTTCTTTATGCTCAGTGACAGGAAACTTTAGTCACTCATGTGTAAACTCACCTTTGGACTGCACCTCCCACAATGAGCTCCAAAGACACTTTTTGAGGACAAGCCTCCAGATTGCTTGTCAGATACCAATCCTCTAAGGAAGAGGAGCTCCATCTGGAAGTGACTGTTGCTTGATCAATAATTATTCTATCTGGTTATGACAGCCCCTTAAGGTGACTCTGCAGCCGTAAGGAGGAAGGGTGATACTGTCTGCTAGACTCTTCTTAGCCTCCAAATCCAAGGCAAAGGGTAAGCCACATTTCCCTTGAGGGATGCAGCCAAGATGAAATTTGATGCACGAAGCCACGAGGCAGCCTTCCCACCTCTACTCGAGGCCTCTGCTGCTATTTCACACTCAAGTCAAAGCTTCCCAAATATTTAAGACATCTCCATGTCAACCACAGCAGACGGCATGTTGAAGCTGGGGTGAACTCGTATGAACGTATATATGAGCTGTCTTTGTGTTGTATTCTGGGTTAGGGAGTGTTTCCCGTGTCGTGGCCAAAGCATTAGCTCATGCAACTCAGGAGTTCTTTTCCTTCCTTTGATACTCTCTTCCCTTTGGGGGAACATGTGGAACTGTTTGAGAGTGGCCTTGAATGCTGTCTTGTTGTGTCTGCTTCTTGGTTCAACACTCAAGCATTGTAGGCTGATAGACGGCTTCTGCACAAATATCCCTGTGCATGGACCCCTCCACTCTCTTCGTGTTCACTGCTGTCTTCTTTTCTCGGCTTGGCTTTGTATTGTTATCTTACTACTTAGAACTGGACCCACGTCTCCAAGCAGGCGAGGCAAGCACTCTACCTCTAAGTAGCATTAGTTCAGTCTATTTTCTAAAGCGATTAATTCTACCAATAATAACCTATATCAAGAGTTGAGACAGCGTCACTCTGTAGCCTAGGCTTCCCTCGGACTCACGGCAATCCTCCAGCTTCAGTGCCATGAGTGCCTTACCTGGCCTAACATTTTTAGCCAAGACATTCCTTTTCTGTTTTCAGTCTAGAAGATAAAGTGGGAAAGGGGATGCCATCCCAGTGCTCCTAGCATTGACAGAGAACTTCCCCCAGTCCTAAGTGATTTCAAAAAACAGTTGACTGAGGTATGGCCCGAATTCAAGCTGGCCATTCTGTCATCATCTTCTGCATGAATCTGAGGATTCCATTTCAATGGCAACAACTCCCAATACGGTCTTTTCTACAGACAATAGCCACTGTGGAGTTGTTCAAGAAGGTCCATGGTCTTCCTCAGAAATGGCTTCAAATAGGCTTTAGAATGGACTCTCTGAATCTCCTTAGAGGAGCTGGAGCACTGGTTCTCAACCTGTGGGTCACTACCCTTTTGAGGGTCAAAGAACCTTTTCACTGGGATCAGTAATTTACATTACGATTCACAACAGTAACAAAATTACAGTTCTGAAGTAGCAATGAAATAATTTTATGGCTGGTGATCACTACAACATGAGGAACTGTATTAAAGGGTCACAGCCTTAGGAAGGCTGAGAAGCAGTGATCTAGGGCCTGGATGAAAAGGTTTCACAAGCTAAGTCA